GAGCCCTCGGCCCCGAGGGCCCCAAGAGGCCCCAAGAGGCAAGAGGCCCCCAAGAGGCCCCCAAGAGGTCCCCGAGAGGCCCCCGAACTGCCCCCGAGAGGCCCCCGAGGAGACCCCGGAGAGACCTCAAGACGCAACCCGGAGAGCTCTGACCCACGACCCAGGCACGGTGGCGGCATAGGCTGGAGGGCATGATAGATATACGCGCACGCGCACACACCAGAACCACGCGCGCGCTTCGCGCGCTCAGGCTCTAGTCAGAGCTGATGCAAGGCTGCCCGCCACCAGGGTGAATCTCAGTACGCTGTGACTCTGAAGAGCCCCGCCGTCGCCCCGAAGTCGGCATCCACTGCGTCCGTCACCACCGTTGCTCTGTGAACCACGCGCCCTTCGCGCCCGCTTGGGTTTTGGCGCAAGCACCCTCGATTCTGGACGACCCGGACGACGACAGCAACCTCTGAAAGATTCGAAGACGTCGTGACGGCGGACCACGCGCGGGATGCCCTATGCATTTATGTGTATATATCTGTAAACATCTCGTTCTGTGTATATATATATATATGTATAGATCTTTATTCCCAGAAGGTGTTCCCAGCGAGCCTGCGGGGAACATCTTCTGGGGTCTCGTCAGGCCTCTTGGAACCTCTTGGGGGCCTCTTGGGGTCGCCTTCGGGCCTCCATGATGCCTCCTGGGCCTCTTTGGGTCTCCTCTGGAGCGTGCCGGAGGCCCATCTGGTGCTTGTCTGGAGCCTCTTGGGAGGAGGAGCTGGAGGAGGAGGAGAAGGAGGAGGAGCTGGAGGAGGAGAAGGAGGAGGAGAAGCTGGAGGAGGAGGAGGAGGAGGAGAAGGAGGAGGAGAGGGAGGAGGGGGAGGAGGAGCATGAGGAGGAGGAAGGATGTGGTTGAAAGTGTTCCCGCAAAGCATTCGGGGTACATCTTTGGGAGTCTCTTCGGGCCTTGCTCACGGAGACAACATTTGTTCCCGGGAGTTGCTTCTGGAGAGACTTTCGCGAGCATCCTCGGGGTATCTTCGGTCCTCTCAGAATCAATGTGTTAAGTATTGGGGCCATGGGAGCTCTGGGATCTATAGGATGTACCGGACCCGCAGGGGTGATGGGAATTATGGAGATTATGATAATGAAGGGGATGATGTGGGTTGTGGGACTTTTGAAATTATTCGAATGTGTGGGAATACCAGAAGTTATGGGCCGTATGGAAGTGGGGACGTATGCGGATGGTGGGAACTATGACAATTGTGGACAACATGGGGACTGAGGGAAGTATGGCAACTATGGGAAGTATGGGAATCATGGGCATAATTCGAATTATGAGGATTATTGGAAATGCTGGAGCTCTGGGAAGGATGGGAAGTATGAGATGTGTGGGAATCATGAGAAATATGGGAGTTCAGAGAAAGGTGGAAATTATGGAACTCATGGAAATTATGAAGAAAATGTGGGGTCATCCGTTGAAGAACTGTTGCCGTGCCCGTCCTGGTTTCACTCCGACGCAGTGTTTCATGTCCGATTGCAGGAAGGTTTCAGAACTGGCTGGACTGAACCAGGCTGAATCGAACGGCCGCGAACCAGGGTATCCCCACGACGAATCGGACCGAACCAGAGCAGTCATGGTAGAGACCCTAACCGAACCGAACCAAGTTCGTTTGTGGATGATCAGTCAACCTCGAATCGGTAAGTCGGATCGGATTGGAATGTGATTCGGATCAAGCCGCACACGCACGGCATCGACATCGGATCGGATCGGCCGCGCCGGGATGCACCACGGCGCCATGCGAGCATCGGGCCGCATCGAATCGCCGAATATCGGATTCGAATTGGATCGGGCCAAATCGGATCGGACACTGGGGCACAAGGCCCGAAGCCATTTGGGGGGGCTCTCTGGCTGTTGGGGGGGGGCGTCTTGGGGCCCCGTTGCGGCTCTCTTGGTGAGGCCTCTTGGGGCGTCTTGGGCGACGTTAGATTAGAAGGCCTCTGCAACCGCCCTGGGGCTGTTCTGTGCCGTCTTCGGGAGCTGTGGGCGTCCGTGGGCTCTCTTGGGGGTGCCTGGGGGCCTCCTCTGGGCTCCCCTGGGGGCCTGCAGGGGGCCTTCCTGGGCTGGTTTAATTCTTCTTGGGCCCTGTTGGGCAGTCTTCGCGCTTTCTTGGGGGCTTCTTGGGCTGTTTAGTGGCGGTTCTGGCGGCGTCTGGGGTGTCTGGGGGCCTTCTTTGGGCTCCCCTGGGGCCTTGCAAGAGCCTTCCTGCGCCGTCTTGAGCCTTCTTGGGGTCTTTTTGGGCCGTCCTCGGGTTCTCTTTGGGGCTTCTAGAGCTGTTTTGCGGCGGTCTTGGCGGCGTCTGGGGTTGTGGTGCACGCTGGGTCAGCCCGCCACTTGTTGATACTGAAAACCCACGTTTCTTTCTGACGATTTCAGCCTTCCGGGGCCCTTCTGGGGGCCATCCTCGAGCGTTTGGAGTGCCCCGTGGGCCTTCAGGAACAGATCTTGCATGGTCCGGGAGCCTGTGGGGCTTCTGAAAGGCGTCTTGGATACGGCCTGGGGCTGAACGGTTTCCCCCGGGGCCGTAGGCGATCCGAGGAGGAGGAGGAGGAGGAGGAGGAGGAGGAGGACGGGAGGGGGAGGAGGAGATGGAGGTGGAGGAGGAGGATGAGGAGGAGGAGGAGGAGGAGGAGGCGAGGAGGAAGGAGGAGGAGGAGAGGAGGAGGAGAGAGGAGGAGGAGGAGAGGAGGAGGAGAGGAGGAGGAGGAGGAGGAGGAGGGAGGAGTAGGAGGAGGAGGAGGAGGAGGAGGAGGAGGACGGGTCGCCAAAGCCCTTCGGAGAAATCCTCCACCTGGGACGTCGTGGAGACTCGTGGGAGCCTTCGGAAGCCCCAGTGCCCCATGCGCCGCGGAGGTCCCTGGGCGCGGCCAGGGGGCCTCGTCCCCAGGGGGCGTCTTGGGCAGTCTTGGGGCGTTCGTGGGCCGTCTCTGGCCTCCCTGGAGCGCCTCGGGCGCCGTCGTAGACGCAGTGGAGACCTCAAGCGCGCGGTTGCTGAAAGTACGCGTGTTTCCATAAATTTGTGTTTGGCAAATTTGGGCCTCCCGACGTCTTCTTGAGGAGCGTCTGGGGTAGCTCCGGAGACATCGAGGTGGCCTCCACCCTACCCGCCCAGAGAGCGCCAACTCGCCCCCGAGGCGCTACAGGGCAGTTTTTAATACATGGGATTTTTGAATATATGAAATTTTAATGCGTGATTAATGTATGACTGAATGTATGCATGAACTCGTCGTTGTTTTCAATACTAAATCCCTGCATTTGTAATACATGATCCGCACGCGGAGCATTTATACAAAACGGCGCTGTAGAAACTCACCCCAAACGCCCGTGATCGCCTCCAGATGGCCCACACGCTCCCTGGTGCTCCACGCAAGCTTCCCGACGGCCCAGGACGCCCCCCAGACGCTTCCAGAGGGTTCCGCGATGCCCACCGATAAGTGCCTGAAGATACACAGTGAATTGGTTTCCTGTTGGATTCCGCCCTTTCGGCCTGCTGACGCTCCACAACAGCCCAACAAGGACTCAAGCTCGCCCCAAGATGGTTTCAGAGACCCACTCCAGGGCGCCACTGCCCAAGAGGCTCCGAAGGCGCAACAAGAGACTTCCCGGACAGCCTGCCAAATGCACCGAATCGTTAAAACATCACCGCCAGACGCTCACCACGTCCTCCAGATGGCCCCGCCTCTGACGACGACGACGACGACGACGACCACGACGACGACGACGACGACGACGACGACGACGACGCTTGAACGAAGCATAGGCGGTCGGGCGAGCGGGACGGCGCCGAGGCTCGACAGAAATGCCTCAGGGCGTCTGGGGGGGGGGGCTTTGGTGGACCTCTCGGAGGCCTCTCCTCGGGCTTCCGGGGGCTCTCGGGGACTTCTTGGGGGCCTCTTGGGGGCCTCCTAGGAGCCGCGTGGGGCCTCCTGGTGGCCTCCAGGGGCGGAGAGCACGACATGTCGGGTCGTGCTCCCCCTCTGGGGTCCCTCTTGAGGTGCTATTGGGGCCCTCGTGGGCTGCCTTGGAGGCCTCTTGGGCCACCTCAGGGGCCTCTTTTGGGCCGTCTCGGCGCCCTCTTGAGAGGGCCTTTGAAGCCGCGTTGGGGCGATATGCGGGGCCTCCGGAACCGTCTTGGAGCGTCGGGAAGCCGAAAAGGCAGAAACGCGAATATCCATCAAACACCAAAGGGAAGTCAATGATTTGTGCCTCTTGGAGGCTTGTTGGGAATGCTCTTGGAGACTCCTTGAGCCGTGTTGGAAGCCTGTTGGGCCGTCTGGAGGCCATCTTGGGCGTGTTAGAACGATACTTCGGCGAATCTGGTCCCTCTTGGAGGCCTCGTGGGGTCCTTTTCATATGATTTGGGGCTGTCTCGGGCCGTCTGGGGGCGTCCCTGGCGGCCCGGTCCCCCCATGCGCTGTCGGGGGCTGGGTCCCAGGCCCTCCCGCTTGGTGCCCAATGATAATATATGTTTATGAGTTTGTATTAATACACGTATAGGTATGCACAGAAACATGCATACACATACACATAAGTACATACATATATGCACGCATACGCATATACATATATACATATATATGTATATGTGCAGATATGCACATCCATATATCTGTGAATGCATCGCTTGTTTGCGAATATGCCATGGCCAGAGGCCCTCTCCTCCCTCTCCTCCCTCTCCTCCCCCTCCTCCTCCTCCTCCTCCTCCTCATCATCATCCTCCTCATCCTACTCCTCCTCCTCCTCCTCCTCCTCCTCTCCTCCTCCTCCTCCTCCATCCTCTCCTCCTCCTCCCCTCCTCCTCCTCCTCCTCGTCCCTCTCCTCCTCCTTCTCCCCTCCTCCTCCTTCTTTCTTCCTTCCTCCGTTCTCCTTCCCCCTCCTCCTCCTCCTCCTCCTTTCCTCCGTTCATGCGAGGGGGGGGGCGGCGCAGCCGCTTCGTGGGCCCCGAGGCGCCTGGTGCGCGTCGGGCCGGAACTCAACCTCCTGCGGCCGGCGGGCGTGGGGGGGGGGGCCGCCGTGCGCCCTCGCGGGCGGCACGTTTCCTCGCGGGGGCCCGCCGTGGTTTGTTCGTTCCTCCCTCCTCCTCCTCCTCCTCCTCCTCCTCCTCCTCCTCCTCCCTGCCTCATCCTCCTCCTCCTCCTCCTCCTCCTCCTCTCCCCTTCTCCTCCTCCTCCTCCTCCCTCTCCTCCTCCTCCCTCTCTTCCTCCTCCTCCTCTCTTCCTCCTCCTCCTCCTCCTCCTCCTCCTCCTCCTCCTCCTCCTCCTCCTCCTCCTCCTCCTCCTCCTCCCTCTCTTTTCCTCCTTCTCCTCCTCCTCCTCCTCCTCCTCCTCCTCCTCCTCCTCCTCCTCCCTCTCTTCCTCCTTCTCCTCCTCCTCCTTCTCCTCCTCCTCCCTCTCTTCCTCCTCCTGCCTCTCTTCCTCCTCCTGCCTCTCTTCTTCCTCCTCCCTCTCTTCCTCCTCCTCCTCCTCCTCCTGCTCCCTCCTCCTACTCCGCCTCCGCCTCCTCCTCCTTCTCCTCCTCGTCTTCCTCCAAAGCGCACAAGATGACAGTAATAGTTACTCCTTGAGGCAAACGTGCGCTATTCAATACAACCTGTGGTGTACATCAAATGCGGTGCGGTGCTGCACATCAGTTTACCTACCACAGGGCACCGAACAAAGGGCCGACAGCGAGCGGAGTCGGCGGAGGAATAGGAGGAGGTGGAGGAGGAGGAAGGGACAACTGCAGAAGTCCCACCAGCCTACAGGGCGTGATATGTTTGGCGAGATTATTTTTTGTTTAGCGAGATTCCTGCTCCAGCCCCCCTACTTCCCCTTCGGGGAGGGGCTTATCACTGTTCCCCATTAATGAACACCCCCTCCCACAGGCGACCAGCAGCCAACCCGAACCAATGAGCCCTCCCTCAACCATCCCTTCAAACAAACACAACAACAACAACAACAACAACAACAACAACAACAACAAGGCAAAACAACCTGCTGGTGTACCCGGAGCCGGTCCACCAGTTCGCTGTTTTGCTCCATGTAGCGAAACAACCCACTGGTGTACCAGGACCCTCCCCCCCCCCCCCCCCCGCAACGCAACGCAACGCAACGCAACACGGCTGTATGAGCAGCCTCTGTTGCGTTGTGTTCCGTTGCGCGGGCAGGTGGGGGGTGTGTGACCCTACGGGAGCTCCCACTGTATGGGATCCCCTACGGATCCTATACGGACTGTATAGGATCCCATACGGATCCTATACGGACTGTATGGGATCCCATACGGATCCTATACAGACTGTATGGGATCCCATACGGATCCTATACAGACTGTATGGGATCCCCTACGGATCCTATACAGACTGTATGGGATCCCATACGGATCCTATACAGACTGTATGGGATCCCCTACGGATCCTATACAGACTGTATGGGATCCCCTACGGATCCTAGACGGACTGTATGGGATCCCATACGGATCCTATACGGCCTGTATGGGATCCCATACGGATCCTATACGGCCTGTATGGGATCCCATACGGATCCTATACGGACTGTATGGGATCCCATACGGATCCTATACGGACTGTATGGGATCCCATACGGATCCTATACGGACTGTATGGGATCCCATACGGATCCT